ACTGTTGGCTAGTCCCCAGTTGCTTTGTTTTATCTCTTATTGTATTGTTTTATAGAAGATGTGAGTTTGGCATTTTTTTAGGATGATTTACACAGGCAGATATCTGTTGTGCTGATTTGTGTATAATGCTGTTTTCAGTATTTTGTGCAGCTTGTCTAGTCATGACAAACTCCTTCAGTGTTTGCTTGTCTGTAAAGTGTTTATTACAATTTCTACTTTTTCTTTTTGAGACAGAGTCTCACTTTATTGCCCTTGGTAGAGTGCTATGGCGTCACAGCTCACAGCAACCTCCAACTCCTAGGCTTAAGCAATTCTCTTGCCTCAGCCTCCCAAGTAGCTGGAAGTACAGGCATCCACCAGAACACCCAGCTATTTTTTTGTTGCAGTTTGGCCGGGGCCAGGTTTGAACCCGCCACCCTAGGTAATGGGGCCTATGCCCTACTCACTGAGCCACAGGTGCTGCCCTCTGCATTATTTTGAAAGTTAGTTTTTCAGGATACAGAATTCTAGGCTGTCAGTTTTCAATTTATATATATTAAAGATGGAGACCCAATACTTGTTAAGTTTTCCATTGAGAAGTCAGCAGTTAGTGTGATAGCTTTTGCTTTTTAGGTTATTTGATCCTTTCATTTTGCTGCTTGCAGAATTTTCTCCTTCATTTTGACTTTTGCCAAGTTAATTACTATGGATCTTGGAGAAGATCTATATGCTATGAATTTCCCCTATGTTCTACATCTTGTATTTGTATGTTTTAATTTCTGGTGAGACTGAGGGAGTTATTCTCAATAATTTCCTCAAATAACATAGATATCCATGCTCTTAGCTCTTTCTTTTTCACCCTTAGGGATGCCTACAATTTGAATGTTAGTTCACTTCACATAGTCTCATATTTATCTCAGTGATAGCTCTTTTTTTTTTTTTTAAACTTTTCTCTGCCTCTTTGAAAGATTGGGTTATCTTCAGAGCCTTGTCTTCAAGCTCTGAGATTCTTCTTCTCCTTGGCTTAGCCTGTTGATAAGGCTTTCAACTACATTTTGAAATTCCCCAAATGACCCTTTTCATTTCTTATATTGCCTAGCTCTCTAGGGACTTTTTGTTTTTTTCATTGATACCCTAAAATATTTTTGGTTTCTCATTGTTGGTTTTCAACTTTCTCTTCAATTCCAATAATCTTATTTCCCATCCATATTCTGAATTCCATGTCTGTTATTTCAGCATGGACTCTTGTAGGTAGAGTCCACTTCTGAAGCTTCATTGTATTCTTTTGGAGGTACCAAACTTTTTTGTTCTTTTATGTTACCAATGTTCTTTTGCTGTTTGCTTGTTGTTTTTGCTTATTTATTTGTTTTTCTCATCTGGCTTCTCTTCTCTAGGCTCTGGGTGAATATGTATACTAGGCACCTGTTCTCTTTGTTATGGATTCATTTGAACCAAGTCTGCTCAGAGCTGAGTGGTCCTGAGGGAAGTGCTGGAATTCATGGAGGTTCTGCTGGCCTATCAGCAGTGGTAGGAACTCAGTTGTAGGGTCTTGGGAACCAGGCACAACTCTGAAATCTCAAGGGTAAATTTGTAGGTTTAGTGAGGCACTGAAGCTACAGGGGCAGAGTCTCAGATTCAGGAACAGCGAGAGTTTCAAAACTGGCTATGGGGAATCAAGTACAGAGCCACCCATACAGGGTGGGGGCTCTTCCACCAGCACAGAGACTACTGATAACATAGTCACATAAGCAGAGGTTTCTCTCAGTGGCCCAGGGTTTGCATAGGCAGGCTGGAGCTGCTGGTCAGTCAGGATTCTACTCTCACTCCTAGGATCCAAGGCAGCAGTTTCCTGGGACTTCTCAGGTGATGCCTGTGGCATCTGAGACTCCCTCTCTGTTTGGCTTCACACTGAGAAGGAGGTGTGCTCAATCCCTAATCACAGGGATAAATGTAGGGTAGCACCTCTTTCCCCCTTCACCTGGTAGGAGTGATCCTAAAGTTACTGAGAGGACCTGGATCCATGCACCAGAGTGATCAAGATGTTGTCAGCTGGCATTGGCAGTCATCAGATCTCTGCTGCATCTGCTGTCTGCTCTCTGGTGGAATATCTCTGCACAGACTCTGAGTAGCTCCCTGATCAGCCCAGAGGTCTGCAGTAGAAAAGGGAGACCCCCTCATAGGTCAAACTGACTATAACTTTTGTTCAAAAACAGTGTCCCATGAGGCACCATGGGTCAAAGGAGAAGGGTGCTGGCCCCATATACCAGAGGTGGCAGGTGGCGGGTTCAAACCAGGCCCCCAAAACTGCAAAAACAACAACAACACAAAAACAGTGTCCCCTCGAGTTGCCTCTATCTTGCTGTCTTCACCTCTTCCAAGCAGTGTGAATTGGTTCCCCCAGCTTAATCTCGAAGATGGTGAATGGTACTTGTAAGAATTGGCCATGCCCTGTTTCACTGCGTTTTAAACCTACAGTCTTATCAGGTTGTGGGGGTCTAGTTACTCCTTGATTTATTCCTTCAACTGATATTTACCAGTGTGTTCTATATGTTAATCACTGTTTTCTATAGAAATGTCCGTCTGCAAAACAAAATTCCTTGGCCTCACTTTCAGAACTCACTAGTATCTCTAAATTCTACACTTGGGAATTCTGTACTATAAATCAACTTGCTTCTTTTGCTTCTTAACATACTCTGTTTTCATTTTCCATTTATTTTTTTAGTGAGTAATCATTTGTCTACTTGTTTTTCAGTTCTGAAATTAGACTGTTTTCACCTCCTTTTCAGTTTATTTTTGTATTTTGGGTTGATTTCACACATTTTGGCCATTTTGTGGGATTTAGGGAGAACACACAGGTAAATGAATGTGTCCAATGTACTACATTTGCTAGAAGCACCTGCGAGTAATTTGGTCCAAATGAGCCTCAGAACATGAATTCCTACTTATCTGTGATGTGCTCAGATAGCCCAACATCTCAATACAATTGGGAATCTGGACTATCATCTACTAAAAGCCCTTTCTGCTACAGGCTGACCTTGTCTGAAAAAGACAGTGAGGCACCAAAACACGCACCTAGTAGAGGAATTGCAGGATTGAACTGTATGTCTACTTTTAGCTCCTAGAGTGTTCTTCAAATTTCTTTCCAAAAAGGTCATATTAGCTTGCATTCCTACCAACAGTGTACAAGTGTTCCCTTCTCTCCACATCCATGCCAACATCTCTGGTTTGGGGATTTTGTGATGTGGGCTAATCTTATTGGAGTTAGATGATATCTCAAAGTGGTTTCAATTTGCATTTCTCTGATGATTAAGGATGATGAGCATTTTTTCATGTGTTAGTAGGCCATGCATCTGTCTTCATCAGAGAAGTTTCTGTTCAAGTCTCTTGCCCACATAGAAATGGTTTCTTTATTTTCTTATTGATTAGTTTGAGTTCTCTGTAGATTCTAGTTATCAGACCTTTGTTGGAAGCATAACCTGCAAAAATCTTCTCCCATTCTGAAGGTTGTCTGTTTGCTTTACGTACTGTGCTCTTGGCTGTGCAAAAGCTTTTTAGTTTGATCAGATCCCAGTAATGTATTTTTGATTTTGCTTCAATTGCCCAGGGAGGTCCTCCTCATAAAGTATTTTCCCAGGCCAGTTTCTTCAAGTGTTTCCCTACCCTCTCTTCTAGTATATTTTTAGTTTCATGTCTTAAGTTTAAATCTTTTATCTAGTGAGAATACCTAGTTGATATACCTAGTTGATCAAAAATAATTTTACAACAAAGACATTTGCACCAGAATATTTACTGTAGCCCAATTCATAATAGCTAAGACATGGAAACAGCTCAAGTGCTCATCAACCCATGAATGGATTAACAAATTGTGGTATATGTACACCATTGAATGCTATGCAGCCATAAAAAAGATGGAGATTTCACAACTTTTGTTTACCTAGATGGACCTGAAACATATTCTTCTTAGTAAAGTATCTCAAGAATGGGGAAAAAAGTATCCAATGTACTCAATACTATGAAATCAATATATAACTACCTACACAATCATATGAATGGCAAAGCATTACTATAGTCCAGAAAGTAGAAGGGAAAAGGAGAAAGAAGGGAGTGGAGAGGAGATATGGGAGGAGGGAAAGTATTTGGGGGGACCTCACCTAATGTGCATGATGCAATGATACATTTCAAAACTATTAAGAAATGAGTATAATTGTGATGGATGTGTTACTTAGTTCAATGTAAGCATTTCACATTGTATATCAAAGCAGTACCCTGAACCTCATAAATGCATCAATGTACAAAGTTATGATTAAATAAAAAATAATTTTAAAAAATATAAAAAACATGCACCTAGCCTGTGCTACAATTCTTGAAACTTTTATGTCCTCTGATAGACTGCTATTCTTTCAGAATAGAAGGACCTAGATTTTGAGGAGATGTACCTATCAGAACAGTGTCTGCCCCCAACCTTACCCTAGCACCAGCATATATCAGAATACCTATCCTTCCTATATCATATATTGGCTGAAAGTTAGCAAATTCATCCAGCTTCAGAATGCTTTTTGGCTAAGCCTTTTCATATTTTTCCCTTTGGGGGTCTTTTTAAGTTTGAATAGGAGGCAGCATTTACATTTTATCAGTATTCTCTGCAGGTGTGGGTTTTTGGAAGGAAATTGTCATTCCTCTAGAAAATAAAGGGTGTCATTTCATTTCACCTGGGACAAGAAAATTCTTCCTGAGCACTTTTCTGAGTGCTAATATTTTCTGAGTAAAAGAGGGAAGACATGCCACGTCCTGAAAACTTTTCATGGTGGCAGAATTTATGGAGCTGAATAACACAGACTCTTTCCCCCCCTTAGCTATTCAAACATAAGTGATCATGTTTAAAACCCACTCCACCCCAGCAAGGGTGTCATATCTTAGTTCAGTGTCAGTTTTTTTATGAGACATCAAAACCATACATTCTTATGTGAAATTTTTACTTTCAGAGTATTGCCTAACGTCTTCTGATTTTAGGAGAAGTTTTTTTCTTTAGCATTACATTTGTCCACGTGCTCATTTTAGGTCAGACATTTGATCAAGATCATTACAGAGAAACTTTGATTTCCCATAATTTTCAAAATAGAACCTGGTCCCAGAGTTTACAGAGGATGAGACCTTCTGGGAGTTCAGGATGTTATTTTCTATTTTAATACTAAACCTGGGAAATGCTTTTTAGACTGTCTTGAGAGGATTTATAGGAAGGAGAAGGGGAAGGAGTCAATCTTCTATTAAGCTGCTAAGCTGCTTTATGAATTCTAAACCTGTGGTGGGAAAGGAATGAAGAAATCTAATGCTTTTGACCTTGATCCTAAAAATAGCTATCAAGTGTGAATAAGATTTTTGACGTTCTGAAAGGAAATATTTCAAAGGGAACCAAAGAATATGTCAGAAGATTTTCAGACTATAAAAGTAAGTTATGCAAAGGACTAATGTTAGAAATCTTACGCTTGGCGTGGTACAACATCACCTGAGCGCTCTTTGTCATCTCTTTACCCTTTTAAATGGCCTTGTAAATTGTCGGTTCCTTTAGACGTTATTCTCAATGAAGTAATAAAACCTCATCTGTACTTCTTTGAAAACTGCATACTATCTGGAAGAACATATTTGGAGCATGATAAATATTTGCTTAAATAAATATTATCTTCAAAATTAAGTTCTTAGTTATTTTTTCTAAAGAAAAAGAGTAAGGACATCTACTCTTCAAGGCACATAGAAATATTGAAAAGAACAGATTAATCACTCACTTAAAAGATGTACTTGTATGCCTACCATGTATGGTATATTTGGGTAAGCTTAGGAATACAGTAACTTAGATACAAGTGGTAGTACATTCACCACATCACAATAGAGCGGTGAAGACCAATGGTTAAACAAATAAACACAAAATATGGGATAAATACCATAATGGTAGAATTATAAAGAGTTTAGATGCTTTATAGCTAGGAGTTCTACCTTAATCCAGAGGAGAGGAAAGGAGTGTCAGTTGCTATCTTGAATGATGAAGCAGAGGTACCTTAAAAAAAAAAAAAAAAAAAAGGAAAATGAGTTTTCAAGGAAGAGGGACTAGCATGTGGAAATATATAGAAAAATATAAATAAATTTTAAAATGACTAAAAAGAAGAAATCTGTGGAAGAGAGAGAGTGGTAAGGATTAAGGTATGTGAGTAGATAGATAATGATAACAGTCCAGAGACTTTAAAGGCACATCAGGAGTATTATGACAATAATAAAAAGACATTCAGTAAGGTTTAGACTGTTGATGGCATGATTTAATTTGCACTTTTGATAGACCATTTTGGCTGCAAATTAACAATGAATTAAAAAGGTACAAAATATTGAAGGCAGGACTTCTCAGTCTTGTACTATTAGAGAAGCTGGCATTAAATTTAATTTAGTATCTAAACAGCTATAAAACTAGACAAATGATGTGAAGACAATATGAATGAGTATTGGACAATAGTCAGTGTAAGACGGAGATCCTTGGGGGGAGAGGAAGAACCACACTCTGTTCCCCATGGCTTTCTGGTTGAAGTACTGTCCAGAGCATGAGGCTTAAAAGCAGGAAGGGTATTCTCACAGTGTAAAGTGAAACAGAGTTTGGTTTGCGGGGGGCATGCTAAGGTAGCTGAAGTTTGTGGAGCATGTAGGCAGGGTGGAGGTAACCTTAGCCATAATTATCTGGAAATCCTTCCAGTCCCACAAGGTACATTAGCAGAGAACTACTGATGAGGTGCTGATAACTGAGCAGTTATTTTTCATCACACAGAGATAAGGCATGGTAAGTCATAGAGATGTTGAAATTTTGACTTAACTAGAATTTTGATTCCTTAATAATTAGGATGAAATAAGTCAGGCATTTAGTCGAGACACCCCAAATAGATGTACATTCAAAGTAAAGATTTCGACTGCATTAATGTACACAGCTATGATTTAATATATAAAAAAACAAAGTAAAGATTTCATTCTAGGGCAAATTTATATTACTTTGGACTGATTTTTTGTTCTAGAAATAAGACCCAAACTGAAATAAACTCATCCTTTAAAAAAACAACTGAAGAAGATTAGGTGATCTCTCTGTAATTACATAAAGACAGCATAATCCATAGTTGCTATAAGATATAATCAATAATTTCTAGCATATAATAAATGAAAGTACTAGATAAGCAAAAAAGTAAGAAAGCAGCACCCATTTTTAAGAAATGAAATAACTTATAGGAACAGACTCTCGAATGAAGCAAATATTAGAATTATTAGACAATGATCTAAGATACCTGTTACAAACATGGACAGGAATTTGGAGATGACCAGCTAAGCAACTGGATGGACAGATGTCAGCAGAAATAGAAAGCTACCCATAAAATGGAATTCTTCCAAATATTTAAGAAAGAAAACACCAATCTTATATAATGTGTTTCATAAAATAAAGGAAGACACATCCACATTTATTTTATGAAACCAGTAAAATCTTAACAAAGACATTAAAAGAAAAATACAACTAATGTCCTTCATTCCAAAATTAAAAAAAAAAATTAGCAATGTACTTTAAATTGTGATTAAATGGGTTTTATCCCAGAAAAAAAGAGATTAAGTTAATATTCATAAATCAATCATCATAATTTACCACATTAACATAACAAATTAGAAAACATAATTATCTCAATTGAGGCAAAGAATTTAATTAAATGGAAAACCAATTATCTATAGAAATGATTTCAACAAAATAGGTATAGAATGTAAATTGTTCAAACTGACAAAGAACATTTATGGAAAACTTACAGCTAAACACCAGGCATAGTGGTTCACAGGCCTGTATCCTAGCACTCTAGAAGGCTGAGGTGGGTGGATCTCTTGAGCTCAGAAGTTTGAGACCAGCCTGAGCAAGAGCAAGACCCTGTCTCTACACAAATATGGAAAAATTAGCTGGGCATCGTAGCAGGCAGCTATAGTCCTAACTACTCAGGAGGCCTCAGGAGGATCACCTGAGCTTAGGAGTTTGAGGTTAATGTGAGTTAGGCTTAGCCAGGCAACAGAGTGCAACTCTGTCTCCAAAAAAAAAAAAAAAAAAATCAAAAACCCTATGGATAAAATATGTAATGTTATATTTAATGATGAAATAGTATATTTTCTTCCTAATATGTGGAAAGGAAAAACTTCCATTTCATCATCAATCCTACAGGTTCTAAGTTAGAACAGGAAAAGAGAAAGGAAAAGAAAAAAGCATACATAAATAAGAGGAAAAATAAAATTGTTTATTTCAAAAATGACATAATTATATGTATCAAAAATGCAAAGTCATTTATGAATGTATTACTAGAAAGGACAAATTAATTCAGGAAGATTTCTGGATATAAAGTTAATATACAAACATGTTTCTAATAGGGTAGCCTTAAAGCAAACAAAAAATCTGGAAACCCAAATGAAGAAAATTATTATTTATAAGAATTTCAAAAGTCAAAACTGTAGAAAAATATTTAAGAAACATACACAAATTCCATACTGAAAACTACAGAACTTTGCTAATGAAAATTAAAGAAGTCTAAAAAAATGGAAAAATAATGTTAATGATGGGTTTGATTTAGGTTTTTTTTTTTTTTTTGAGACAGAGTCTTACTATGTCACCCTCAGTATAGATCCATGGTGTCACAGCTCACAGGAACCTCCAACTGTTGAGCTTAAGCGATTCTCTTGCCTCAGCCTCCCAAGTAGCTGGGACTACAGGTGCCTGCCACAATGCCTGGCTACTTTTATTGGTTGCAGTTGTCATTGTTGATTTTTAGCTGGCCTGGGCTGGGTTCAAACCTGCCAGCCTCGATGTATGTGGCCGACACTCCACCCACTGAGCTACGGGTGCTGCCCTGATTTAATTTTTTGAAGACCTTTTTTCTAAGTTATTCTGTAGTTTCAATAAAAATCACAGTAAAATTTTCTATAGAAATGTATATGTAATTTATAAAAGTTTATGTGAAAACGAAGGTTTCATTATGTTGGTCTTGATTAGTCAAAATAATCTGAAAGAGGAAACACTAAGTTGGAGGATTTTACAACCAGATTTTCAACACATATTGTAAAAGTAGAATAAGTAAGACATGATGGTAATAAAATTAAGAGAAAAAAAATCAATGGCACAAAATAGACAATCTTGGTCTAGACCTAGACATATGCATTAAATTGATTTTTATTAAAGGTATCAAACAACTTCAAAGTGAGAATTGAGATTCTTTTTAGTAAATAATGCTAGAAAAGCTAGATAATCAATGCAAAAAAGCAAAAATCAAAACTGTCCACATATCACATGCCAAATGTAATTTGAGGTGGGTTACAGACCTAGATGTTAAAAGTTAGATCTTTAACTTTTCTGGAAAACGGTTTCACAAGTTTGGGGTTAGGCAAAGATTTCTCAGGCAGGATCAAGAGGCACCAATAATAATTTTAAAGAAAAGATAAACTGAACTTCACTAAAATTTTCAAGTTTTGCTTATCAATAAAACCCCCACCATTATTTAAAAGGTGAAAGTGAAACCATTAAGTCAAAGATTAGAATAAGGTATTTCTTCAGTGTGTGACACACCTTTTAGGGTCAAGACACAAATATAAGAGGGACTTTATCAAACAAATGCAATCAGTGTAACATTGTTTCTTGTACCATTAATGAATCCCCAACAATTAAAAAAAAAAAAAGTATTTCCTTTTTCATTTTTAGAGACCAGGTCTTGCTGTGGTGCCCAGGCTGGAGAACAGTGGAGTGATCATAGTTCACTCCAGCATTGAACTGGGCTCGAACGATCTTCCCACCTCAGCCTCCCCAGCAGCTAATACTTCAGGTATGTGTCACTTGAAGCTATTATCCCATCTTGGCCTCTCAAAGGCTGAGAACACAGGCATGAGCCACTGCACCTGATCAGGAAAAATATTCTTAAGCATATATCCGACAAAGTTTTCATGTTAAGAGTAAAGAACACCTACAACTTAATGCAAAACAACACACTGAAAACCTTGACAAAGAATCTGGACAGACATGTGATTAAATCTTACATAAGAATTCCCATAGTG